CTCTTGAACTTCCTCCTTATTCACTCGATGGCAGATCATGGCATGCCAACTCATCGCACAGCTTCGATTCTGCTTGAGATGCTTGCAGAGTCTCCCATGAGAGTGAAACTCAAACATGCACATCTGACAGTGCGTCCCGACATCCCAAGTGTTGCAGTCAGACCCGTGTTTGTGCTGCTTGCCTCGGTGTATAGCAAGACCCTTAGCCGACGGGGCCACGTATCCACACTCATAACACAAAAAACCGACAACTTCGGAGCTGCTTTGTTCCTCTCTAGCACTGTGCTCAGGGAGTCCGTGAGCTTGGCAATTCCTAAGAGTTTATTTCACTAGATACTGCTGCTGCTGATGAAACAATTCACGCCTGGCGGCTTCCACCACCATGTTGATGAAGCGCCTTGGCCTGGCCCTAGCAAAGCTGAGCCAGTCATCATTACTCCCCTCTCCTGGTACCTGTCGCTTGTCCATCCTCGTGTTGAGCCATTCAAGATCCTCTCTCATAGCTCCCACCCAGCTCCCACTGTCTTCCCAGAGAGTGTCTAAAACCACTCTCAGGCCAGCCGGCCCCGTGGTGAGCACCCTCGGGAGATATCTCAGCCTGGCAACGCGGAGTACACTGCGGTGATTGAGCCTGCTGACAGCATGCACAACAGACGCGTGGGACTGGTGGTGGTCCTCGTTGCCACCGAGGGCCTCCCCCAGCGCTGCCCGATAGGCCGAGGCTTGAGCAGCAGCTAACTTACCATGAGACTTGTTGGAGAGGGGCTCCCAAACACAGCAGTTGAACCAAAGTTTGCTTAAGGCAAAAGCATCCGTGTAACGAGAACGAGTGGCCAGCTTGAGGGCCTTCCTTTTGCCAAGAGCCACTTGGATGGGCCGAAGTTCAGCCCTCATCTGGGAAATCCTGTGGGCCACTTCAGGCCCAGCACCTCCACCCTCCACCAGGAGGGTTCCAAGCCCTTTGATTTGTCTAACAATCTTAACCTCAACCCCATGCTGGACAGAAGTCAGGGTGTCCCCTCCCCCCTGAAGTACCATAGCCTGCTTGGTTTTTCTAGCACCACGGCCAACAAGGGAGAGCATGAGAAAATATTTGGTAGCGTTCAATTCAAGTCCGTACTTGGATACTCCCACGTAGACGATGTCCACTAGCATGGAGGCTCGTGAAATGGCCTGCTCTGCCTCCGCTATGGCCGCCACAGGTGTGAGATCATCTACAAATGAAACCGAGGACCCCGAACTCTCAAGGTCTACATCGGTGGAGAAGTGAAGCTCAGCGGGCGGCGGTGTCCATGCCAACCCATTCTGCTGCATCTGCTGATCTATATCTTTCACTATGGGAGCAAAGCCAACATTGAAAATGTCGGTAGCCAGAATGGTCCCAGGTCGGCTGCCTAAAGCAGGTTTTACATACGCCGTCGATCCACGCACCTTCCACCAGCCTCCAGCCTGAGTCTCCCGAACCAACTCCAAGAGGTGGGGGTCCGAAATAGCTTTGTCGAGGATGGGGTCGCATTCTAGAGCTTTGGTGACATGAAACAGAGCTGGGGGAATATGCACCTCCTCTAATGCAGCTCTGAGTTCGTCCTCTTCTCCAGGCAGGCTCAAGATGAATTGCTTAATGACCTTGTAAAATGCCGCGCGCAAGTCAAGAAAAAAGGCAGCCGAGCAGAAGCCACATCTTTTTTGTGCTCTTATCCTGCTCCTGACCCAATGAGTGGCAACATCCGTACTCTTCCCCTTGAGGCCCCCACACTGAGATTCGGCCAGACAAGTTTCCAAGCACCCCCAGACCTGGGCCCGAAGAAACTGATGGCGGACCTTCGCAAGGGTGTTGCTGAGCAGGATGCTTCTCTGAGCCAGCGCAAGTCGCTGGTCGCCTTTGCCTTTGTAAAAACTAACTACTTCTCCCTGCTTCATGATGCAGGGCTCCCGTACGCAAATGGCAGCTTTCACCACAACCGGGTGATACACTCTCGCCATGCCCGCAGGGTCAGCAAGATACAACTCATTGATGATCATGTCGGGGCCCGAAGCTTTTCCTCTTTTCAGCCTTGAGAACGCCCTCTGCAGTTCCTGACGTGGCATAACACAGTCAAGGTTGAGCCGAAAATCTTCTCCCCCTATGGTTCCCCTGTCATTGTACTGCTTAAAAATCTGTTCCCTGGAGGCTGTGGTGGCCTTTTCGATGTCCCCAAAGTGTCGTTGCAGGTCATCTGCATCTTCCTGAGGCGTGATCAGAGGCCGTCCCTCAGGTGAAATGCGCTGCGGGAAAGAAAGCGTTTGTCGGTGGCGCTTGCCGCCCTGCAATAAAAGCTTCTTGGCGTACCGCCACTCGGCCTGAGAGATACGGCCGTCGATACTAACGTTAATGAGATGAGCATTGTCCTCCAGCATCTGACTGTAGTCCCTGTCAAGCGCTCTGAGGAGTGTCTCCGACGACTCTCTGAGGAATCTGGCTAGGCCTAAGACCCACTCATCTGGGCACAGTTGTTTCCAAGAGAAGGCTTTAGCCATTTGGTAGAGCTGCGTCCAGCCGTGGCCGAGATCCTCCCAAAAGACACCCCCGAAGGCTCCTACTTCCCAACCTTTGGAGTGAAGGGTTCCCTTCCTGAGATCCTGAGCAAGAAAAAATAAACGGTTCACGTACCTATCGACCCCACCTTGATGCCTAACTTTGTGAAGGACCCTTTGTATGGCCCTTCTCACCCTAATGAGCCAAAAGGTATTGTCCTGAATGTAGGTTTTCCTGGGGCGAACGGGATCTTTCTTAAAACATTCTTTCGCCGCGTCCAAAACAGAGGCGTTGAGCTCAAGCAAATGATCATTCATATTCTTTTCCCAAGCTGGTAGCTCAAAGTTCGCTATCTGGGCTCTGAACTTGTCGCAAGCTGTCTCATCCTGAAGCTTGCGTGCGTCAAAAGCTGCCCCTTGCCTCGCAGCGCGCACCGAGTCTCTGACCCAGCAAAGGCGTGATACCACAGGGAAATGATCATCTAGCTTCCGTATGAGATCCACCTCATGCAGAACTGCCACCTCACTCATGGCTTTGAAAAGTTGGTGGTCTGCTATGAGAAAATCAATCCTATGCTTGCTTCCCGTTTTGTTAGCTATGAAAGTGTAATCAGTTTCCTCCCCAAGGAAGGTGTTGGCAGCAACCAGCCTGTGATCATTGAGCCACTCCTTCAACCTCGCACTGCCCGCAGAAGAAGAGCCAATCGTGCCCTTGGTTCCTGCCACCTCACACCCTTCGTCTCCAACAAGATGGCAGTTGCCATCCATAAAGCACAACTGCGGGGGCCACTTGTTGCACACAGCGTCTAAATCCTCCCAAAAACTGAGTTTTTCTGCGGCCGAGTTAGCCGAATGAGGCACGTGGGCCACTAGAACATTGAGGTTGACCCCTGGAGCGTCTATTCTGCATGCTAGCAAACGCGGTGCAGCCCACAAGATTCGCACCTGCTGTGGACTGAAGGTTATCGGCTTTCCCTTGGACGTGCCATAGGGGGATCCCACGTTGATCCATAGCTCGACGCCGAGCGCAAAGTCCTGGTGTCCTGCTGCAAAGCACACCCAATCTCCTGCCCTCCTGGTGCCCTTTTCGTTCCTTCCCTCCTGAATTCCAATGATGTGTATGCCGCTCCTATACATCTGAGTGCGCAGCGCCGCGGCACGGCGTGCTCGATTTCTTCCCTTCGAGCCCCGCCGAAAGGCATGCCGCAGGCTTTGCACGTTAAAAGTGGCAACACGCATGTCTACAGCAACCTGCAACCTGCTGGTCCTGATGTCGCTTGCGTGCGGCTCTCGAAAATCCCCTGCCTGGGCAACTGGCTTCAAGCCTGAGAGGCTCACGCACTCGTTGTCATAAACAACGCTGGGGTACGCATGAGAGTCCTCTCGCGCATCCAGGACCCATTCCCACAGGCGTGAGTTTTCGATCCTAATGGCTTGGATGACTCTCCGCGGTAGCTCAGGCGCCACAGGCAAAAGCTGTCTCGCTGTGGCTTTAGCCACGTTGTCTGCTAAAACATTCCACGGATGGCCAGCATGGGCCTTGACATGGGCGAGCTCCAGTGAACACTGCTTGGAGGCCAAGTCCCAAACGACCTGCACAAGCTGAGCAATTTTCCTGTCTGAATTTGGCAAGCTTTGCCCAAGCGCTGCCCGAATCGTATTAAGCGAGTCGCTGTCCAGGGTGCAGGCATGCCCTGGCCGCTCAACTATGATTGCAAACAATGTCCATATCACCGCTAGACACTCCAACGTGGTGCTGGTGGCCGAGCTCGGCTCAAGGTTCATTGCACTGCTGCTCGCAAGTTCTCCTCTTAAAACTCCCCCGTACATGTACCTCCCATTCCTAACCACTATTTTTACCACTGCCCATCCCCCCATCCCCTCCCCTTGTTGGTAAAGCGAGCCGTCGGTAAAATAGTGGACGACGGAGATGTCGCCGATCCCGTCGCCGGGCGGAAAAACACGCAGGGCAACAGCAGCCTCCTCCTCTAACACCCCTGTGCTCTGCAAAACTTCCAGCGTTAGTGCTTCAAATCTGATGCTGCTGCCTTGCAGTGCTTCTCTCAACGGTGTCAGCGCGGGCTGACTCATGCTAAACTGGCATTGGCTCGGGAAACTTCTGGCAATGGACCCGTGGGTCCTCACACTGTCTGCCGTGCTCATGTCCAAAGTCTGCGATGCAAATGTCGAAGGAGACCGTCGATACCCCGATGTCTGCCCCCTAGCTTCGCCATTGTCTCCGCATTGCGCAGGAAAGCCCGCGCTCTGGTCAACAGGCTGCCTGGTAAAGGTGTTGCAGGAAAAGGCTGGAGCTCCTAATGAGGTGTTATCCCCAGACTGTTGTCTAATTAGTTCACGAGATCTAGTCAGAAAATCCTTGCCCCCCAAGATTGAAACCTGATGCGGCACATCCCTACCTATTTCAGTGTTGCATTCTAAAGGAGACGCTTGTTCTAACTGTTTGGCCCAGCTCACCTGCTTACCCCTCAGGCGCCGCCTTTGCCCCCCACCTTGAGGACCTTGGCCGCAGGGCTGCGCGGCTGCGGCGAGTCCGTTGCTGCCGTTGCCCACGTCGTCCTTGCCATCGCCCCCCTCGTAGCCGTCGACTTCGATGCCGTCGAGGCCGTCGCTGAGCTGCTCACGGCCGTTGGTGCGCTGCTCTCTGCTCGCTGCTCTGCACAAGCTTGGTCTATCTTCTGCATCTCCTTGTGTACCTGGGAGTCCGTCATGTCGCCATCCTGTGACGTCACCAGGACAGGCTCTTCCTTGGGCTCGATCTTCGTCACGCTCTCCTTCGGCGCCATTGCCGTCAAGTAGGGGTCCTCCTGAGTGCCCCCTGCCCACGGCTCCGTAGGTGAAATTGGCCACGGCGCTTGTGGCATCTCGGTCTCCTCCATCTTGTGCTCCTCCCTCGGCGTGGCCACGGGCTCCGTCGGCGTGAGGAGCTTCTCCTTGTGTGCCGATCTCCACGCAGGCGGTGTGCCTTGCGCTGGTGCGAAGGACTGAGGTGAAGCTGGTGTCTTCGGCATTGCAATCGGCGTCGAACAGCCTCCCACTGGTGTTTTGCCTTCTGGTGTACGCGGCGCTGGTGAGTCCGCTGGAGGGGCCGCCGTCTCCCCAGCGGCCATGGTAAACCCCACGGCCTGCTGCTGCCTATGGTGGTTCTGCTGCTGGCCCGAGGCAGTGTTGATCCACGAGACTAGGTTCGACATGATCTCCTCTTGCCTCGCTTGCCTCTGGTCCATCATGCGCAGAAATTGTAGTAAACCTGGATCGTGCATCTGCGGGCCCATCTGGCACTGCTGCTGCGGCGGTGCTGTCTGGCCCTGCTGCTGACTCTTCATCTGTTGGTCCATCATCTGCTGCTTCTTGTCCATCATCTGCTGATCGGTCTGATGGCAATTCGTCTGGTCCATCTGGCCCATCTGCTGGCCCATCTGACCATGCTGATGCTGCTGATGCTGCTGACCGATCACGTTCTGTTGTCCACCAGCCGCTCCGAACTGAGGTAGGTGTGTCTGAATGTAGGGCGGCTGCTGATGCGCAACATACTGGTTCATCGGCTGCTGCTGCTGCTGCTGCTGCTGCTGTGGATGCTGCGCTCCAGCAAATCCCCAAGCATACTGCGGCTGCGGCCCGTATGGGCCAACACCTGCGACTGCGGCCTGGGGCTGGGCCGAGGACGCCATATGCTGGTCGTCCATCGGCGGTTCGTCTGGCATCTGCTCCAGCTCGTTCATGCAGCTCTGAAGCTGCTGGATCTCCAGCTCGATCTCCTTCTCCTGCTCGGATAAGTCCTTGAGCCGCGATACCGTATTGTTGTGACGGTCCTTGGCTCGATCTAGTCTGCCTCTGACCTCGTCGCGCTGCTTCCTCACGGGCACTAGGGAGGCCAGGCAGGTCTTCATCACCATCAGCTCCATGTCGTGCTCGTTCGCCGTGTCCGTTTTGCCCGCCCTGCGAGCGTAGATCGCCATGCTCGCCACGTTGAGCAGCTGGTCCTCCAGCTCCTGCTTCCACACTGGAATCTCCTGCTGCCTTGACGGTGTCGGACGAAAGGCTGAATGATTTGTCACCGCACGATGTGGCATGGGCGGTAACTTCTGAATGTAGTTCCTGATGTGCTGCTGCTCTCGCTGTCGTTCTCTCACTGCGCTCTGGCTCCTCGCCCTTGCTCCTGCTCTGGGATTGTCGGTCCAGGCTTGGCCGCAAAGACAGTGACGATGCCAGTTGTTGACCATCTTCCCACATTTGCCACATTGCCACTTGTTGTTCATCTGCGTTCGATCTTGAACCTGGGCACTGTGATGCTGGGAAAGAAGCCGATATGATCGGTCTAGCGCCACAAGCAGCCGTGCTTGATGACGCTTGGCGCGCTCGCGCCGATGCCGAGCTGGCTCGGTGTCGCGCGAGAACAAGAGAGAAGAAATGACTGATATCGCGGTGCCTTGCTAGGCGCGCGCGTGGGGCTAGGCCTGCAGAAGAAAGTAAAAGGGATCGCAGGTTGCAGTATCGGTTCTGTCCTGCGGGTGGTTTAGGCCAAACCCTCGTCCTCCTCCTCCTCCTCCTCCTCCTCCGCCGCCGCCGGGCAGGGCATCTCGAATACGGTAGGTTTGCGTCGTGTCGACCAGCGGCGACCCCAGCGCGGGCGTTCAAGGTTGAACGCCGCCGGCGGCCCAGAATCGGTCGATGTTGAACGATCGGACGTTTCGGAAACGGCCGATCGTTCAAGGTTGAACGATCCAGCGCGGTGTCAGAAACCAACGCCGGGGTCGACACGACGCGAACCTGCCGTACCCTGCTCATTACGTACGCGTGCACGTCCGTAGAATCGCGCGGCTTTTCGGGATCGGCGCTGTGCCCACGGGCGGCGGTTCCGGTGCCGCCCCTGGCGCGCTCCGCGCGCCAGGTGAAGGGGGCCACCGCCGATCCGAAATTTTCTCACGGGCTTCGAGACATTCGAGGTGCATCATGCGGATTTGCTTTCTTGTAGATCAGGAGAACGTCGGAGGAGGAAGGCGTTTGGTCAAACGTGGGGATGGGGAGGATTGGTCGCAGGTATGGGTGATGCGTTCTCGGTTCAAGATTGTTCATGGCACTCGAGCGTTCGATGTTGTAGATTCTGAAGAGGTGATCTGTGGTACATTTCATGGCCTCGCAGTAGCTCGAATGTGTGCCACTGTCTGGGGCGCGCGCAGCCTCCGCGCGCGGTCGGTTCTGACTGACTGACTGATTGACTGAGGAAGATTAGAGAGGAGCTGGAGGAGGAGGAGGAGGAGGAGGAGGAGGAATTTCGCGGATCGAGATGCTCGAAGGTTTTGTGCGTTTTTGGGCTTCCACGTGTCTCTAGAGGCTCAACGTCCCCTGCGCCACAGGCCAAGCAGCGCGAGCGGGTGAAGACGATCAACCAGCAGCAGATCGCAACCAAGGAGGCGCAGCGCGAAGAGGCCGGAACGTCCCCTTTGGTCCTCCTCCCGCTATACCCGGGGGTGGACAGACCTCCTACCCTGACACGTCGATGAAGGGATTGGCCGTTTTCGGTTCGCGAGAGGGCGTCGCGGCCGTCATTTTTGCGGGTCCAGGTCCGTCGGTTTCGGTCCCAGGCCGTTTTCACTAAGGGGAGGTCTACTAAAGGGAGGTTTGTCCACCGCCGACATACCCCGTCCTCGTCTTCTTCCTCCACATCTTCCTCGGCCCCCCCTCTCCTCCGTACGGTAGGTTTGCGTCGTGTCGACCAGCGGCGACCCCAGCGTGGGCGTTCAAGGTTGAACGCCGCTGGCGACCCAGAATCGATCGACGTTGAACGATTGGACGTTGCGGAGACGGCCGATCGTTCAAGGTTGAACGATCCAGCGCGGTGTCAGAAACCAACGCTGGGGTCGGCACGACACGAACCTGCCGTAGATCTGTAGCCATTGTGGCTCAAGTGCGAACCACGGGCGCTGGTGGCTCGTGGGTGTCTGCAGCCAGGTTGCCGGCTCGAGTGCCCCCAAGTTCCTGCCTGCCTTTCGTGGGCGCGCGGGGCGGGAAGTCGACGACGCCGCGGGCGGCAAGAGGAGGGAGCGGCGGAGGAGGGGGAAGAGGAATCATATGATAATTACTGGTAAGAGAAGGAGAAGAGGCGGAGAAGGAAGAGGAAGAGGGAGAGGAGGAGGAGGAGCATGAGGAAGGAGAGGAGCATGAGAAAAGGGGAGGAGGAGGAGGAGGAGGATGTGAAAAGACTGGGGGCTGCCCAGCCACAAATATCGAAAAGAGGTTGGCTAAGCCTGCCTCAGTGCTACATTGGACTCAGAAGGGGAGCGCCAGGTCGAAGCCGGGAACGCAGGCCGAGCTTGCCGAGGAAGAACTCAACGGCGGTGTCCACGACAGCAAATGTCTGGGAATAAATCTCGATATCGGAATGTGGTGAACAGGCGTAGCCTGAAGACTCCAGCGACATGCAGTGCTGAACAGGTGATGATGAAATCTGCTGCACGAGCCCACCATTGCACAATGCAGAGAGAAAATGTTGATTCCATCAGTAATGGCGGCACAATCGCCCAAGCCAGCTAGTGAGGACGTGCGCCTTGTCCCTTCCCTTGTCGAAGTGTGGCATCCTGCAACTCCTTTGGAAGGACAACTGCATTGCTGCGAGCATCCAAGCTCGCGAAGGCTGAACCAGTAGAGCCGCCTCTCTCCTGACTCAGTCCCGACGCTGCAACTGCAGTATCGGCTGCTGCACGTTGAAGTGGGTCGCTGGCTGCAGAGGGCTCTTGAGAGCCAGCTGAGAACCTTGAGACAGACGCACTGTCGCCAGCGGACCTTGGTGCATAGAACTGGCTGTGGCCAGACGCCCGGAGGTGGTCGAAAAGCTTATTCCTCTAAGTAACCACCTCGCCACAGTGCTGACAAGTCGTGGGCGCCGTGTTCTCAGCAATCGGCTTGCTCCCAGGAGGATGCTCAGCGGTAGGGCCGTGAACTGGCGCCACAGGAGCAAGCCCGCCAGCAGGAGCGCCCCCAGGACCTCCGCCAGGACTCGCGCTTCATCCGCAGGGGGTTCGGGCCGAGAAGCAGCTGCCAACCTCTCCTTTTCGGCCTCCTTCTCACGTTTGATTCTCCGCCGCCGCGAGGCAGTCGGAGGGGGGGCGGAGGCGCCCTCCACGTGCACCGTCACTGCCTTGCATCACCATCATGACCGCGGAGGCCACGGCGGCGGCGGTAACAGCTACAGTGCGGCGCGGCGCGCCTGCTTGCACGGCGGCTCGAACCGCCACGTCAACCAAGGACGCGGCAGCGAAACCACCATCGGACGCCATCCCATGCAACGCGCGCGGGGGAAACAAAGATGCGCTAAGCACACTTGAGCTGGAGTCTTGGGTTCACGAACGCCTGCTTGAGCTGCCAAGCCTTGGGGGCTCGATTTCCTCAGCAGTCCTATCCACGGGCCGCGGCAATGGCGACTACGGCGGAGGCTGGCAAGGCGGCTCGGTGATGTCGCAGCAGCAGTACCACGACCCTTGCCCTCACTGTCGGTAGCGCCGGTACGGGCTTGCGTGTCCGCCCAGGCGGGCATGGAGCGAGACCTGAGCAAGTGCTATGATCAAGTTCCCCATGAGGTGGGTATTGCGTCTCTTCGTGCTGCTGCAGTTCCTTCGAATATTGTTGCCGTGTCTTTCGCTGCGTGGTCTGGTCCACGACGTTGCCAGGTGGCTGGGGCTTTATCTGATGAAGTGGTTTGGCCATCTCGCAGCTCGGTGCAGGGGGGCTCCTGCGCCCCCAAGGTGCTCTGCTCGGTGCTCGCGCCGTGGGAGGTGGAGGGTGAGCAGTTCCTGTTCATGGACGACCGCTCTCTGGCGTGCCAGAGCGACCAGCAGTTGATCGACGACGTCGCCGCGACAGACCGTTTCGACTCCGAGACAGGCGCCGTGGAGAATCGTAGCAAGCGCCAGGAATGGCATCGCGAAGGTTTCCGCCGCATCGAGCACATCGGGGTCGAGGCCGCCCCCGATGACCCCACGGCCCCCGTCGCGCCGGCGGGGGGGCGGAAGAAGGTCTACGCAGCCATCAGCACTACGTCAGTTGCCTGGAAGTTCGCGTGCCCGTTTTCGAGCAGCTGGTGCATATGTGGTTATTCGGTGGCTTTGGTGCTGCCCAGTGTTTACCCTGCCACCTGATGATGTGGCCGCGAAGCTTATGAGTTCTACTATTCTGACAAAGTACTTGCGGTGGTGCCGCGGACGTTTTTGGCCCCTCCATATCCAGCACCACCCAGCGCATTCGAATGCGCTCACGGCAGTACGCCGCTTGACGGAGTGGGAGTTGGACTACAATCCCTGGGTCGGCCACAGCCTGCAGACCTTCTTTGAGGCGATCGGGCCGGTCTTCGTACAGTATGATGTTGACCGAGGTATCCGCTTTCAGCTTGACCCTGCGGAGTCGGACCCGCGTACGAAGCGCATCGGGCCGCCGAGGTCTGAAGGCGAACCGGTTCTACCACGTTTTGCGTGCAGCGCGTCGGCTTCGAGCACTTTCAACAGCGGCCCCGAGCCGCGGAGATTTCCCAGGCATGCGCGACGTCGACGTCGAGGCCCTCTCGGGCAAAGCTTGGAAGCGTTTTCGTGACGGACTTTCCCCGGCCGAATGGCAGCAAGTTGTCATGCATATGCGCGGGGCCTCCAGCTCGCGTGCCCGCGGTGGCGGGCGCGACTTCGATTGTGATCCATACTGCCCGTGTTGTGGAGGCCTTCATTGGCCATCAGTTCGTCAGTGTGTTGCCGAGTGCGCCGCTTTCGCAGATTTCAGACGACAGCTCAGTACCTTCTATGGTGTGGCAGAGTCTTGGTGGACCAGTCAGCCTCGGGTTACCTCGAGTTCTGGGTGGATTACGCTGTCTGCCCACCGTGTTGCTGAGCGAAGATCCGAGCTTATGGTGATGCAGGTCCGAATGGGCCTGTACTATGTATCTACTGGACCTGGGGTGCGGAGTCGAAAGAAGGCTCGTGACGGAGGTGGGCTTGCAGCAGCGTGAGCTTTGCTTTCTTGCTGCGAGTTGTGAACGAATGCTGTCTTAGACACCGGATCTTGATCTTGCTTTGATGTTCAGAGTGTGCTGTCTGGTCTTCCTCATCCTGATCTTCATTGATATTCTGATGTATGGAAGCTGCTACTACTAATGCCTGGTATTCTGATGTATATCCAGGTTCCAACTCCAGTTCGGTTGTTCTTGAAGTGCACTTAGCCCCCGTCCTGGCTGCCAGGGGCCTTGCGGAGGTTGGTGGGCAGGCTCTCGATCCGTCCCGTAGGCTGGCCTTTGGGGGCCTTCACTCCGGTGCGGTCGCGCCGCGGCCGTTTACGGCCGCCATTTTAAAACGAATGCCAGCCTGCCACGCACAAGGGGTTGGTTCATCTCAGCCGAATTCGCAAGGGCGTGTACCCCAGCTGCTCGGGCCCGTCTCGGGCGAGTCGGGTCCTCGCTCGCGTTCGAGTAGCGTCGGCCGCCTCGGAGGAAGCGATGGTTGCCCATCGGGTGCGCATCCCGCCACCCTCACCGCCTTTGGTGGCGTTCCTCGCCGACGCCTCGGGGGCTGAGGCGGCTGCGGGGGGGTCCCTAGCGGGAACCTCGGGGTGGCCAGCCTTTTTTGTCCTCCCTCTTCCCCCCGCTCCCACCAACGCCGCGCCTCGCAAAACATCAAACAAACTTCCCGTTTCCTCAGATGTATCCGTTCTTCTCGTGACGTCCGCCCCTCGGGATCTCGGCCCCTTCGGGTCTTGCTTATCATCTTGAGTAGTTTTGTGAAGGCCTTCGGTCCTGGAAACGGCTTCCACAGGCTCGGGGTGGCCAAGAGGGGCCACGAATTGTTGGGGAGATCCTCGCTGGGGCGATTTCGTGGTCCCCTCTTCTTTTTTACATGAGTCCCCTGGTCCTCCAGCGTCCGCGCACACGCCTCTGGCCATGATTTGCGACCCCCCCTCTTGGCCGCCCCCTTCTTGGACGCCACCAGGAGGCTCACAGCGCAGAACAACCAGCCGTTGCGTTTTTTTTTGCAGCGCCTGTATCTGAGGGTCCGTCTCCACCTCCATCTGCGCTTCCATCCTCGTCCTCCTTCTCTCCTCGTCGTCCCCCTCGTCCTCTCTCTTTTTATATATATATATATACACACATACGTACATACATACATACATACATACATACATACATACATACATACATACATACATACATGCATGCATGCATGCATACATACATACATACATATGTATATATACATAGATTCGTTGCCGGCCCGCGCCCAGGCCTATCCCGTCCTTGTCTTCCTCTTTCTCCACGTCCACCTCGGCCACCTCCATCTCCATCTGCGCGTCGATTATCCTGGTCATCTTTCTGCCACGTTTCGCACGCCCTCGTCCTCCATCATTGTATCGTCCTCGCTGGCGCCCGCGCCCCAGGCCCTTGTGGAACACATGAAAGAGCAGGCTCAGGTGCAGGAGTCGTGCCCTGGCCCCCATCTCTCCCTTTAGTGGGGGAAGGAGGAGGCGGAGGAGGAGGAGGAAGAGTACGAGGAGGAGGATGAGGAGGAGGGAGAGGAGGAAGAGGAGGAGGCGGAGGAGGAGGATGAGGAGGAGCAGGATCAGGAGGAGGACCAGGGTAAACCCAAGACGCATCAACGATGTTGCAAGCAACCTTCCCTCCAAGTTTCTTCTTCATAAGATCCTACAAGGATCTATCTTCACTGCGGGAAAAGCTACGTTGACAGACAACTGTCTGAACATCGTCAGCTGTGCTAAAGCACCATTCCTGGAACTTACTTCAATGCCGCGCATCAACGGTACTGTTGCGACCTGACCATCTTAAATCGTGAGAACACAATTCATGGGACGTCAACACCGCGAATCAACCAAAATAATCCTTGAAACGTTTGTAAACTGTGAAAACGAATGCGCGTGGCGCTTCGGCGAGAGCAACATTTGAAAAGGAACCGCCATGCAACCATGAAATTCTCGTACACTTTTCAATTGAATGTGCGCGGCGCTAAGGCGAGAGCCACATGTTGAAAAGAAACCGCCCTCCATGTGTGAAGCTGTTGCGAACTTTTGCAGCGCATGCACGCTGCGCTAAAGCGAAAGCCACCTTTCAAAACGGCCTGCTTACCATCCTTGAGACTCCATCAATTTTCCAAGGCGGTTGTGCGCGGCGCGAAAGCGAGAATCCCATTTGAAAAACCTCCCGCCTCCCATCCGTGAAATTGCCGCAATTGCTTGTGGCGAGTGCGTGCGGCAATTAGGCGAGAGCCATTGTTTAAACACTATATGTCCTCCATAAGGCGGGGCGGGCGCGGCGGCGCGGCCGCGCCAGGCCAGCGCGCTGGCGGGCGGCGGCTCCTCCTCCTCCTCCTCCTGAGGAGTAGGAGGAGCATGAGGAGGAGGAGGGGGAGGAGAGGGAGGAGGTTGAGGATACTGGGAGGTGGAGGCGAATGGGGGGAGGGGGGTGAGAGGAGGAGGAGGAGGAGGGAGGAGGAGGAGGAGGAGGAAGAAAAGGAAAAGGAGGAGGAGGAGGAAAGCCAATGTAAACCCAAGACGTACCAACGATGTTGTAAGGGCTCCCACTTCATAGGCCCCTGCAATAATTCATTTCCGTAAGGGCTTCGCCCCCTGCCGCCGGCCCCCTCTCTCGGATAATGGGCTATGGAAGAGCTAAATCATGAGGCCTCGGCGCCGCCGTGAAGCAGCATTGGCAAGAGAAATTGAGATCATGATGATATTGTTGACTCAGTGTTGCATTTTTGAACCTGCCCTCGTATGCGGTGCCCTGAGGTTTCCCACATAATTTCGGACATGTGGCAAACCCCATGGGTTTTTCGACCCTGACCCTGCTGATCTCTGTGAGGGGGCGGCCGCAATTCACAAGGGTAATGGCTTCGGAGACGCGAATCGTCTCTAAGTTAGGAGGATGTATGGTTTCCTGGCCGAGATATTGCGCAACTTAATACGATGTATGGTTTCGGGGACGCGAATATAGCGTAAGTCTAACGTAATTTACAAGGGTTGATGGCTTCGGAGACGCGAATCAAGCGTAATTCACTAGGGTTGATGGCTTCGGACACGCGATTTCTGTAATTTACAAAGGTGTATGGCTTCGGGGTCGCAGACACAGGGTAATTTACACAGGTTTATGGTTTCGGAGACGCGAACGTTGTGTAAAGTACTAGGTATTGTGGCTTCGGAAAAAGTGATTATCATATAATTTTCTAGGGTTTATGGTTTCGGGGTCGCACATATTGCGTCATTTACACAGGTTTATGGCTTCGGAGACGCGAGCATTGTATACTTTACTCGAGTTTATGATTTCGGGGTCGCGAATCTAGCGTGATTTACAAGCGTTTGTGGCCTCGGGGACGCAAGCATTGCGTAATTTACAAGGGCTTGTGGCCTCGGGGATACGAAAACGGTGTATTTTGCAAAGGTTTATGGCTTCGGGGACGCGAATAGTGTGTAATTCAAGAGGGTTTATGGCCTCGGGGACGCTTAGTTGGCGTAACTTATGCAGGTTTATGGGTTCGGAGACGTAATGCCTTCCGGACGCCCCCCCCATGAATTCAGAGCACTCGCTTCGGGCGTGGTAATCCGGACGCTTTTCGGCTCCCCCCCTTCGCGCGGTTTACAACAAGGAACAGTAAGCAGCATAAAGCAATATTGTAGCAGTGGAAACTGGAAACTGGAACTGGCGCAGGGAACAGCAGACCCTCAGCCTACAGCCTGGTGGCCCCACAAGGGGGCCGGCGGCTTTTCACTCCTGTGGATGCCCCATTGAAGGAAGACAAGCGTCTGAGAACCCCCAATCAAGCCAAACATAATTCTTGGGATTACAGCGCCGCGAATAAACGTGACAGTTGCGCCCTGACAGTTCTAAACCTTGCTGGAACGCCGTTCCTGGGACTTCAACACCGCGACTCAACGTGATTGCTGCGTCTTGGCAATCCTAAATCTTACCAGCAAGCACTACTCGGGCGAGAGCCACTGTTTAAACACCACCCGCCCTCCATCCGTGAAGCTCTTACGAATTGCAGGCTTCAGGCACATGGTGAGGAAGTCTCAGGCGAAACGCCCGACCCGCCCTACTGACACAAATTGGGGGTGCAGCAGGGACTCGTTATTATCAGTAAAAGTAAGGGATGTAGGCGGAGGAGGAGGCGTCGGAGGAGGAGGAGGACAAGAAAGGGCGGTGGAGGCTCATGGGAGGATGGGGATGAGAGGAGGAGGAGAAGGAGGAGGAGGAGAAGGAGGAGGAGGAAAAATAGGAGGAGGATAACGGGAGGGGGAGACGGAAAAGGAGGAAGAGGAGGAGAAGGATGAGGAGGAGGATGGAGTAGTAGTAGTCTTAGGAGGAGAGTAGGAAGGAGGAGGAGGAGGAGGATGCACCGTCCATCTCCTTCGCCGAGGTCTTCGTTGCGTCCCTAGGGCGCCTGCCTGCTGGTCTGCCGCGGTAGGCAGCCCGCTGCGGAGGGGTTTCTCAGGGCGTCCCTGCCTTCACGCGTCTCTGGCCAGGTGCCCCCCCCTCCCAAAGGGGCGCTCAAACATGCCCCCCTCCTCCTCCCCCTCCTCCTCCTCCTCCTTTTTGCATTGATGAGGTCTTATGTGAGCACATGTGGCGTTCTTGCAGTGATAGAGAGACAAACAAACGACTCGGGTCAAGGATATACCTGGCGGGCGCTGCGGAAGATGAAAGAAGGCGAGCGAAAGATGATCATATTAGTGAGAGCAAGCGCCCGCCAGGTTGCGCGGCACTCACCTTAGTAAGCGAGCAAGGATCAACAAGAAACCATAGGGGAAACAACCTTAAGATCAATGGTGAGTCTTGCCTCGACAGTCCCACACAGTGACGGCACAGACTTAAGCAAGACAACAGTTATAAGATACGGAGGTCGTGCCGCCACTGCAAGGTAAGTGCAACGACGCCAATATTAAAAGTGTGTGGCACTGCGGGTTTGCGAATCTCCACCACCTCCTCACAGGTAAGACCCATCGCCCCCACCGAAGCAAGCCCCTGTAGTTGGTACACGCTGCGGAAGAGCGTACTGCTGCAAGAGAAAGCTGCTGAGCGTGTGCATCCAGAAGTACACGTGGGCATATTGCTCACGTGTACATATAGCGACGCAAAGTGCCAAACAATGCCCGAAATGCGGGCGTTGTTTTTGGTTCAACCTTACCCTTATGTAGGAGGGATGCCAACACGAGAACAACGATGCATGACGTATTATATGTGAGAGGAATGCCAAGGAAAGGGTGACAGGGTTTTACGGTTGACCCCGACCCGTAGCAGTTAAGAGTGGTGGGGCAGCTATGTGTGGCAGAATAAACAGAGTCCACCACCACCAACGTCCAAGGTGAGACCCGCCGCCTCTACCTGAAGTAATTTGGCACATGCTGCGGGAAAAAAAAGGTGTATTGCTGCAAGAAGCTGCTGAGCATGTGCGTCCTGGCGTACTCGTGGGCAGATTGCTCACGCGTACATCTAGTGAGGCAACGTGGCCAAAAGAAGTGCCCGATATGCGGGCCGGGTTTTTGCTCACCCTCAACCTTGAGCGGGAGGGAGGTGCACGCAAGTATGACGATGTATAAGGTCGGGCAAGAGAGGGCACATGGAAGTAGACGCCTCCTCCGTAGAGGAGTGAGTCACGCGAGCTGCAGGGCGCAGCATTGAACTTAAAAGGTGAAACGTGTGGCAGCTCTTGGGTAGCAGCCAGATGTTCTTAGTTTATTTGCCACTGACCACCTCGGTGCCAGGACCCTCGTGCTTTGTTGTGGTTTTCTTCTCGGGTTTAGCACGAATACATGTTCGCTGTCTGTAATGCGATCCATGTGTCGCAAGGCTGGTTTGTAAGGCTGGCCTCCTCTTGAGCTCTCCGTGCATTCCCTCTTGCGAGCTCAGGCTTGCCTGCAGGATGAGGCTGGCCGCAGGATGAGGTCGAGGGCAAATAGAGGCAGTGAGGCGAGACAAGTGTGAGGTGCTACGCACAGTGAAATGGGGGTTTGGTAAATACCGCAGTACGGGGTCAGTCCTTGTGGAGACCCGAGTGTGCGCGTTGCGCGCTGCAAAGGTTCGCCCACAGCCCACCGAGCAGACGCGCGAAATCTGCGGGCTGCGCCCCAGGGCTTCGCAGGATTTCCCCGAACCCGCGCATAGAGAGAGGTGCCATCATTGTGTCGGGGCCGCGAAAAGGAGGACGTCGGGCAGACCAAATATGCGCGAGAGAATTCCCCGTGGGAACCAAACAAGTGGCGTTGCGTCGCCAAAGTGAGAGCGGATGCTTCTGGCAGTCTCTGGTCCGAGGTTGCGTGCAAGCGGGCTCCGCGCTGCGAAACTGCGACGCCGCCCCGCCCAAATACTAGTAATGCCGCATAGTGCCCCCACCGACCTGCCCCCACCTGCAAGCGCCCCCCCCCCCCCTCCCAGCCCGCGCGCGCGACGGAGGGCGCACCTCTGGCGC